TTAAAGCTCCTTTGCAGCTCTTGTAAGGGGCTCTTGTGATGTCCCGTCTACGTAGGTTCCTTTTAAAGATCCTTTAAATTTCCCTTAATATTCCTTTCAGGCTATCTTTCAGGGTTCCGCTGCGGGTTCGGGATGTAGGGCGTAGGCGGTTTAGCGTGTTGAGAAAAGGGTTCTTCAGGTTCCGTCGAGGGTTCTATAGGCTTTGGAGGGAAGTGTTCAGGGTTCAGGGTATATATCTTCGGGTATAAGTATGATATAAGCATACGGTCTATGGCTTAGGTGTTGGAGTTGACCGCTCAGGGGTTGATTCAGGCTTGACGGCTTAGGGTTTTACTTGTCGGGTTTGAAGATGATGGCTACGGTGTCTAGCGCCTAAGGTTGCGGTTTTACTCTAAACCCTAAATCCTAAACGTACAAGGCGTAGGGTTTAGGGTTTAGGTACCCGAGGCTGACCGTAAACCCTAGACTTTAACTCATTTAGAACCCTTAAAAGGACAATGCATGGGAGCGGCGAGCATTGCACCTTCCTCGCGTCCGTTGGGAGGCCACCTAACAGGTTGGGATCCACCGGGGTTTTGGGTTTCTATACTTGGAGGATCATGGGACTTAGTAAGTCAGGTTATAAGTACCTTATTTGGATATATACGTAATTATGAGTATAGTAACCTTACTTATGACCCCAGTTACTAAGTCCCATGATCCTTTAAGTAAGGGTTTAGGGTTCCTGTATAGGGCTTAATTAGGGAATAATCCTTAAATCATATTAGGGATCCTACTATAATTTAAGGTAATTATATTCCTTAATTAAGGGACATTGGAGTCTCTGGGCACTAGAAGTGTTACTAAAGGTTGCAGTATAAAGGTCTAGCATACGGCCTTAATCACTTGAATAAGGTTTTGGATGGTACATTGTAGTTTGTGCTTATGCTAAGGAACCCTAGGGAACAGTGTTAATTGCGTAGGCTTGGAATGTCAAAATTGAAGGTTGAAATCGCCCTTGCAGGTGCACTCATCCCCGAAAGTCGAGGACCCTCTTTTTGCTGATGTCACTCAGGATTTAGGCTTTCCGGCTGAGGACTTAGGGCGGCTTGCGATGTAGGGTGTTTAGCAGGGGTTCAGGTGTGTTGGGGTTGGGGATTTCTGGTGGGCTTCGGATGTTGGTGGGTTCGGGTTGTAGGGCTTAGATTAGGGTTTAGGGTTTAGGGTTTAGGGTTTAGGGTTTAGCGTTGAGGGTTGAGGGTTGAGGGTTGAGGGCTAGGGTTTCGGGTTTAGGGCTCAGGGGTTGCAGCGCCGGGTTAAGCCCAATCCCCAAGCCCTGAAACCCTCCAGGCCCTGACTGAATTCACCTAAACCTTACCTTTAGTTAGTAGGGAATGGAGGAATGGGGGAATTGGGTTTAGGGTTTAGGGGTATATAGTAGGGTTCAGGGTTTAGGGTAGTAGGGTTTAGGGTTTAGGGTAGTAGGGAATGGAGGAATGGGGTACAATTATAACTACTGTTACTACCATTCTTCCATTCCCTACTAACCAAAGTTTCACCTAAACCCGAAACCACAAACGCCGACAAGATCTTCGGCAGACCCTGGTGAGCTACTTTCTCTTAGGGCATTCCTTAACCGCGGATAACCTGCCTCGTTGGTGACATATGTAAGGAAATCATAGAGGAAGCCTAGAAAAGTAGCTGGTTCATGGTTAAGGTTGGGGTAAGGATTTACGGGATGCTGCGAGGACTGCAGAGTTTGGGTTTGGGCGCTTGCGTGAGTTTTGCGCCGCCCCTTTCCTGCTTGCTGGGACCTAGGGTCAGGCTAGTAATTTCATGAATCCGAAACCCTAAACCATGAGACTCAGCGACGATCAGCATGGTTCCGTTGTGGTTCCTATGCCAGCGGAGACCTTGGCTCGGCGCCGCAATCTGCCTCGACCCTCTCGCAGAAGCGACGCCACTTTCGCTTGCTCCTTGGCCTTCGGCGTCAGTTTGCGCTGTGGCATGAGGCCGAGCTCTGACCTACCCTGAGCTGTCGTAGTATAGAGCTTACACTCCTGACCCTTAACCTAGTAGAATCCTTGGGATACGGCTGTAGAGGTTCAGGGCTTAAGGTTTATAGACACTAGGGGGGAGGGTTCTCTGATCTCTTCGCTGCTAAGAGAGCTACCGAGTCACACTTGGACTCCTGTACAGTCCAACATAATCAGAAACCTTACTTAAAGGCTCATGGGACTTAGTAAGTAAGGTCTTAAGTAGGTTACAATTAAGATAACCCCACTTAGGGGACTTATAACCCCAGTTATAACCTACTTACTAAGTCCCATGATCCTTTAAGTAAACAAAGAGAGGGAGAGGGAGACCTTATGCCCTAAACCCCAAACCCTAAACCCTAAGCCCTAAACCCTGATCCCTTAACTTAACGACCTTCATACAACACTTACTTGAAACTTGAGACGGCAGGCCGGATCCTGACAGATTGTGCTGCGCCGCAGCAAGAAACACTCCAAACTCCAAACCCTACACCCTGAACCCCCAAAAAACACCAGCCTCATTGTTTAGCTTAGTTTTCCGGGAGCCCCGACCCGGGCAGTAGAAGCCGGGAGGGCATTTAACGCAGCGACGGCCTCTTCGTTCGGGTTTAGGGTTCAGGGTGTTGGGGCTTAGGGTTTGGGGTTTAGGATCCCCAAACCCTAAACCCTAAACCCTCAACCTAGGGTTTGCCATTTAGGGTTTAGGGTTAAGGCTTAGGTGGTTTTGGCTTGAAGGTCTAGGCTTCAAGACCAGGCTTTGGGGGTTAAGGGCGTACTTGGAGGGGCAGGGGACTTCGTTCGGGTGCTTAAAGGGCTCCTTAAAGGGATCTATAGGGTTCCTTAAAGGGATCTAGTATGGGGTTTAGTGTTTAGGGTCTACTTGGAGGGGCAGGGGACTTCGTAAGGGTGCTTAAAGGGCTCCGTAAAGGGATCTATAGGGTTCCTTAAAGGGATCTAGTATGGGGTTTAGTGTTTAGGGTCTACTTGGAGGGGCAGGGGACTTAGTAAGTAGGTTATAAGTAGAGTTATAAGTACCCTAACTGGAGTTACCCCCAATTATAGTCCCCCTACTTATAACCTTACTTACTATGTCCCCTGCCCCTCCAAGTAGGGAGTCAAGGCTCTAGGGCTCAAGGACTGCTATGGTGCAATGTATAGGGTTTAGGGTGTAGGGTTCGGGGTTTAGGGTTCAAGGTTTGGGGTTTAGGGTTCAGGGTTTAGGGTTTAGGATATCAGTCCCTACTTTTCTGTAGGTTTATCGTATAAGCCCTAACATGGACTTCATGGGGACCCTACAAAAAAGTAGGTTTTGGGTGGTTAAGCTTGATTGATTTAAGGAGCATTGTGGTTGTTGGAGTCCTTGCGGCTTCGAGGATATAGGGGACATTGCAGGATCCGAATATCCCTGTACATATCATCCTGCGCAAGCCGAGTACTGCTGATTCCTGGAGGAGTATCCGGCTTTGGCTTGCAGGGTTGCCTGCGGCAGTTAGCATTCAGAATACCGTCCACTCGATGTTCAAAGCATACCAGCATTGCTTATATACATGGTTGTATACAGTTTCACGCACCCTAAGGTTTTAGTGGGTCAGGCTGATTAAGTAAGCAATGAACCCTACGCACTAAACCCTAAACCATAAACCCTAAGCACTAAACCCTAAACCCCGAAAACATATAAAACATTACCGCTGTAAGGCCGCAGGGAGATTTTGTTTTGACATGGCCCATGGGCTGCTGCGGATCAAGCGGGCTTAGGACAGAAAGCTCCCTCAGCCCTAAACTCTACCAGGTTTCCCAAAGTCTCTTTAATAGATGCTTTATGATCCTAGTAGTGGGTATTGGGTATATGTAATAAAGGGTTGGGGGTATAAGAGAGGGTAGTTGGGGGGTCTAGGTAAACCGCGGGTTCAGGGTCAGGCGGCTTGGAGTTTAGGGTCAGGCGGTTGGGGGGTTCAGGGCTCAGAAGATTAGGAATTCAGCTTTCGTAGGGTGTACTTGGAGGCCCTTTTGACTTAGTAAGTCTATTTAGTATCCCCTAGAAACCCTATTAGAAACCCCATAACCCACCTTACTAACCCTACTTACTAAGTCAAAAGGGCCTCCAAGTAGGGTTTCAGGGTTTAAGGTTCCCAAGGAGCCGGCGCTTGCCCACCTGGAGAGTGAGCCCCTAAAAACCACTAAACACTACGTAAGGGATCGTGGGGCCCAGAAATTTCAATAAGGGGTTTAGGATTACTTGTGGAGTCGTGGGACTTGCTAACTAGGCTAATACATACGGAAACTATACTTACATTTACTTATCAGCCCATTTAAGGTACTTACACCCAACATATCAGCCCATTCAAGGTACTTATATCCATGCTTATCAAGTCGCACGAACCTCCAAGTAAAAGCCAAACCCTGATAACAACCCTGCCTTATATGACGATAGATGGACAAAAAGCCACATCCCAAAACATCCCGAAACCAGGATCGAAAACCTGAAACTAAAGCATTTCAGCCCACCGATACTCCTAAACCCTACAACCCCCAAACCAAGAACAACAAACACCCTAAAACCTCAGCCCCTAAACCCTAAGCCCAAAGCCCTAAACCCCAAACCCACCTGAGTATCCCAGCCCCCAAAAAGGTTAACCTTTTCACTTGGGGAGGAGGGACTGGGACGAAAGCTAGAAGCGTTATCCAGCGAGGCGTTGCCAACGAAGCCAAGCATGCATACATGTTAACGGCTCGGTTTTTTACGCAGAAGCGGCTAAATTCAATAAAGCGCCTCATCTCAAATTTGGCCGGGGCTGCAAGCAGCTCGTCACAATGACTCCCACCCGGCACTTCAAGAAAAGATTGTCGTCTGGATCTGCAAACAGTGCATCTGGCCAGGGCTGCAAGCAGCTCGTCAAAATGACTCCCACCTGGCACTTCAAAAAAAGAGTGTCGTTGCCGGGGCTGCAAGCATCTCGTCAATATGACTCCCACCCGGCTTGCCACTCACTGGCCCATCTCTGCCTCCTGCATTCGGCCGCCGTCAACCAAGCTGAAATGCCTGGCCGACCCACCCATGATGGGCGACGAATACAACAATAACGCCGATGAACGCATCAGACCAACCGTGTGATCGAAGAAGTAGGTGCGTTCCAGCTGCAGCGACGCCTTGTGCAAAAGGCGTAGCCACCCTCCCTGAACCAGGAAGAGCTTGGCACCAATGGCCCGCCTGAAGGAGATCGAGTTGGCGTCCGTGATCTCCTTCCCTGTCAGCGGGTCCAGCGGCTTGCACGTCCTCTTCGTGCTAGCAAGGCGCCGGTAAGCCAATTGATAACCACACAGTCCGGCCTGGCGGGCAAACTCTGGGAACGCCTCGATGTTGCTTGTGAGCGCCTGCATGCTTTCCAAAGTCGACGCTGTAAACAAGAAGCAAGAATCCTCAGCCACGAAGAACCACTCATGATCACTCAGTCCATGAATACTCAAACAGTGTAGGATGTATGGGAGCCCAAAAAAAGTCCAAGCTGTTCGGGCTCTGTTTGCATTCTGCACCTTAAGACGTGCCATGAGGTCCGCGGCATGCTTGGATGTCGGATCCAACCCCCTCACCAAGTGAACATCCAAGCCCATGTCCAAGCATCGTTTCGCACAGATGTCGCAGTGCGTGTAGGCATCCGGATTGAAGCTGTGGAACATAAACAGGGTCGGCCTCTTGGCTGTGGCTGTCTGTACCTTAAAGCTGCGGATGGCCTCCATGATGTCTTCCTCCGGCCAGCATACAGCCCAAGCATCCGCCACAGTGCAGCCGAGGGCTTCCACAAACGGCTTCCAACTGGCATGGATCTGCCGATCATCTATCTGGCAGAAGATAGAATCGGCCTCGGCAGCAGCGGCCTCAGCGGCAGCAGCCTCCCTTTCCGCCTGGGCCTCTGCCTCAACATTTTCTTCAAACCAGATGGAGCGCTTCCTCGGTTGGTTCTTGCTCTTTGCGGCAGGGGCCTCTGGCTCTGCAGACTGTCTAGATGATGAGGAGGGCTGCTCTCTGCCGGCCATTGCCGCATCAACTTCTTCCTTGATGTCTTGCATTTCTGCAGCCAGCTTCTCTGCCTTTGGCGGCCGTGCACGTCTCTGTATATGCCGCTCCTTCCGTGCAGCAATCTGCTCCTCCGTCACATTGCCCTCTCGGAAATCTTTGCGAGACATGGTGGCAGAATGGAAGGCGAAAAATTACACAACTTGTTTTGTTCAATCATTATGACTAGAAAAAGTTCTGCTCCAATGGCATTATGACACAAACTGCTACCCTTGACGTTAAGTAACTTACATGAACTTGCATTGATTTACATATGAACCACACACTTAAAACTTACAGGCGGCACATGACCAAAGTGCTGTTGAGAGCTCTTCAGGAAACGGCGAACATTAGGATGCCCACGAGATACGGGTCGCTTCAGCTTCTGTTTAAAGAGGTTGGAGCAGAGCTGCATATGCACAAACATACCATAAATACATGTATATATCATGCCTAGAAGCCAATGGCCTCGGGTCGGGCGCCCCAGATAGAGCAAGTACACGACATCACAAGCATCGTTGGGAATGTCGTGGGTCCCTATCGGAGCTAGCAAGCGCACATCGCGAACATCATTGGAGGCGACCTGGAGCCCAATCCGAGCCAACAAGCCCGCATCACGAGCATCATTGGGAGCTTCTTGGGGCCAACAAACGCGCATCATGAGCATCATCGGGGAGCCGTTTTTCCACTCGGAAGCGGTCCGAAGCACCACATTCAAACACCCCAAAACGGACCCGGCGGGGGACCGCCGAAAACCAGCACCAGGTGGGGGATAGCCCGAATACGTGCAAAAAATGCCCACCTGGCCGGGGGGCCCTTCCCCACACCCCTAGATGCAACCTTTCGGTTGGTAAGGAACTCAGCTAGCCACGGAGGCTAGCTTTCGTGAATTACGGTAGTACTATATCAACCCAAAAAGGTTGAAGAAGGAACCCTCAAATATCCTTCAAGCACCCCTTAAGGATTCCGACTGAACCCTAAACCCCAAACCCTTAACCCCTAAACCGTAAACCCCTATAGATCTCTGAAAGGAGCCCTTAACTTAAAGTATCCCTTACAGGAACCCTCTAAACCCTAAACCCCAAGCCCAAATACGAAGCTTCATAAGGACCCTTAGAGGGGTAGGGGGAGGCGGGTAGGGGGCCTCAATACGCATTATCAAGACTTTATACGGCCTATTTAAAGAAGTATAGTCCCCTACCCCTGCCCTATGTAAGCTTCATTGAGAAACCCTATAACCCCAAAATAATAGGATTCATGTAAGGAACCCTAATAAAGGCCCAAGGTTTCTTAATCAGGTTCCTACACTAAACCCCCCAAACCCTTATAGTACCCTGATAGTACCCTTTAAAGGGACCCTCATGGAACCCTAATCCCTAATCCCTAAACCATTGGCCGCCCGCGCCCGGCGGCGGCCGGTACCACTGAACGCTACCGCTTCGAGATCTGCTTGCTGGCCAAGCAGATCGAGTCTACCAGACCTGATTTGGCACTGCTAGCCATGGGGCACAATAGTAAAATTGGGTACCCTTATCTCCCAGCGCGAGAACCCTGGCGGGGACGGGACCTGGTAGAAAGAGCTTGACGGCGGGTATGGCGGGCGACTCTGGCGGGGACGGCTGACGACCCTGGCGGGGACTTGGTGGACGGACGACTTTGGCGGGGACGGCGCGCGACCCTGGCGGGGACGGCGGGCAACCCTGGCGGGGACGGCGGACGACTCTGCTGTGACAGCAAAAGGGCCAAAAACAGCTTGGCAGACGATTCTGGAGGGGGACGGCGGACGACCCTGGCGGGGACGGCGGGCAACCCTGGCGGGGACGGCGACGACTCTGGCGGGGACTTGGCGACAGGGACTGAAAAAGCCAAAAACAGCTTGGCAGACGACTCTGGAGGGGATGGCGCCTTATCTCCCAGCGCGAGAACCCTGGCGGGGACGGGACCTAAGAGCTCTGGCGGGGATGGCGGGCGACTCTGGCGGGGACGGCTGACGACCCTGGCGGGGACTTGGTGGACGGATGAGTTTGGCGGGGACGGCGCGCGACTTTGGCGGGGACGGCGGGCAACCCTGGCGGGGACGGCGGACGACTCTGCTGTGACAGCAACTAAAAAGGCCAAAAACAGCTTGGCAGACGACTCTGGAGGGGGACGGCGGACGACCCTGGCGGGGACGGCGGGACGGCGGACGACTCTGGCGGGGACATTGGCGAATTTGACAGGGACTGAAAAAGCCAAAAACAGCTTGGCAGACGACTCTGGAGGGGATGGCGGACGGGACGGCGGGTGACCCTGCGGGGACGGCGGACAGCTCTGGCGGGGACTCGGCGATGACACGCACGAAAAGGCCAAAAACAGTTTGGCAGACGGACGACCCTGGCGGGGACGGCGGGCAACCCTAACGGGGACGGCGGACACTCTGGCGGGCACTTGTCTTTGACAGCAACTAAAAAGGCCAAAAACAGCTCGGCAGACGATTCTGGAGGACGGCGGACGACCCTGGCGGGGACGGCGGGCGATCGTGGCGGGGACGGCGGACGACCCTGGCAAGGACGGCGTAAGGACCTTGGGCGGGGACGGCGACCCTGACCAAGCGACCCTGGCGGGGACAGCGGGGTGACCCTGCACGGACCCAGTTCCTCCAAAAAGAGCTTTGCGGACAACCTGCGGGGCCCGTTCGTCGTCCTTCTCTTTGAAGTAAAGACGCAAAACAAGCTTTTTCTGGTGTGGACGGTTCGTCGTCCAGCCCAACAACAGTTAAACGTATAGCCATTCCGCAAGGGCACACGCATTTTGGGAGTGTTTGCGGCTTGCACTTAAAATTCTGCATGCCCTGCGCACGGTGGGTTGAGAAGCCTCATTCGTGGCAAGAATACACATGATTAGATGCTAAATTTAAAACCCCAGTGTGGACATCTCGGCAACGAGTCTGCCAGTGGAGGCTGCCGCAAAGAGATAGCTGTGTTGATTCCCGACCAAACAGAGTGACCGAGACTCCTTTTCGATAACAGCAGCTGATAAAAGAGCGCAGATTTAGCAAGCACCCGTTCCAGAAATACATCAGGGGCATCGCAGCCACAGCCCATGAAAACCAGCCGTTCCCCATGTAGACGCTCGATTTTGCAAGCACCCTCTCCAGAAACACATCAGGGGCATCGCAGCAATCAGCCCATGAAAACCAGCCGTTGCCCATGTAGACGCTCGATTTTGCAAGCACCCGCTCCAGAAACACATCAGTGGCATCGCAGCGGACAGCACATCAAAACCAGCCAATCCCTATGTAGACGCTCGCTTTAGCAAGCGCCCGCTCCAGAAATACATCAGCGACATCGAATCAAACAGCAAACAAAAACCAGCCGTTCCCCATGTAGACGCTCGATTTTGCAAGCACGCAGCAAGCACCAAGTAACACAGAGAGAACGAATCTGCAAGTAAATTGCTGTAAATTCAGCTTCAGCACTCAATTCTCAATATTCCCGAATCAACATAATCACGTATCCCCAAGTAGACGCCCGGTGATGCGACCCCCCCGGGTGCTTCCCCGCATGGTGGGCTGGGATCCAACAAGCATGATACCACTTAGCTCCGTCACTGTACAGGGTGTGTCACAGTGCCGTGGCCAGGCGGAAATGTCCGTTTCACGTCTCTGGCGGCTGACGACTATAGTTTGACGGGGACGGGACGTCCTAGAAAAAGCTTGGGGACAGTGGCCGACTCTGGCAAGGAGCTTGGAGTGCGAGTCTGGCGGCAAAGCTGGACAATTCTGGCACGGACTGCCGGGCGAAAAAACCCTGGCGGCCGAATGGATGATCAGCACTTTTGGCCGGACTGGCACGGACAGCGGACGGCTGCAGACCACTTCTGGAGGCTTGGCACTGGGCCCTGACGGACGACTCTGACGACGGCTGACGGACGACTCTGGCGGCCGGCGAGGACGAGCGAGGGCGTCGCTGCTATTTTGTGACTACATCACTCGGATGTCCCTTTGACGTTCCGCAACATTGCAACGTCTTTTCGGCTAGTGCAGCACTCGAATAAGAAGAAGCAGAACACAAAACCCGTTCTAGTCCTGCTTCGGGTGGTTGTGGGTGGGTTCCACGTTACGAAGACGGCGCGACCCACGACCACTCCATGGGTGGGGCGCGCCGTGGCACTGTGACAAACCCTAAACCCTAAACTCTAAACCCTAAACCCTAAACCCTAAACCCTAATCCCTACACAAATACGATGCTTCAGTTCCAGAGCCCGGCCTGACTGAGAGTCTTGCATGGATCCCACGGAGAAGTAGCCAGGAGGACACATGACGTCCCTAGCAGACCGGCTTGGGTTTAGGGCTAAGGATTTTTTGTTTTTTTTGAACGCCTTTTTCCGTCTGTTAGGGCTAAGGATTTGGGGTGTAGGGCTTGGTCTATGTTTTTGGGGTTTAGGGTATTTTGGGGTGTAGGGTTTGGGGTTTGAGGTTTTGGCAAATTCCTCCGAAAATAGCAGCAACCGTATCAAGCCTCGTGATACATGTATTATGGGGGGCCTTAACAGTTAGAATAGGGTTTGGGTGTATATTATACAATAATTTGAATAGGGAGCCCCAAAAAACAAAAAACAAAAAGTATTGTTAATTATTGAAGCTCCCACATTACTTTGAGGATCATGGGATTTCGGATGTAAGGTTGCACATGCCTTAGTCTGCACCTAGGAGTAGCCTAGGAATGAAAAGGCTGCCCTTTTTGGTTGAAAGGGTGTTATAAGAGGAACCTAAACCCTAAAACAAAGTGAAATAAGGGCCTACTCTGGGTCCTAGTAGTTGGGGTTCTATGAAAAGACAGCGCGGGTGCCACGTTAATAACCCTAGCTACTAAGCACCATGACTCTTTAAGTAGTGTTGATAGCAACATCTTGTTGGGTGGGAGTTTGAAGGTCAGAATGAGGCCGGGTTCTGTAGGGTTCTGAACTTGTGGGGATACTATTGCCAATCATCTCGACCTGTGTATCTAGGAAGATACCTAGACATAAGAGTAATCTAGGAATAACAAGGGTGCCCTTTTTGGGTTAAAGGGTGTTATAATAGAAGCTCAACCCTCAAAAAGGAAATAGGGGCCTACTCTGGATCCTAGATAGAATCTTGCTATTACTGAGA